CTTCACATACAAACGTCGTTAATATTGAGGAGTTTTTTCAAAAACGTCGCTATTTACAGTGATGCGTGTATAGGCAACACTCTGCGTGACGTTTTTTCACAAACGCCCAACCTTATAGTGGCGTTAATAAACGTCGCTAAACGGTTAAAAAAACGCCACTAAAAACTAAGACCCATATAGTGTTTTCACTCAATATAAGAGTTTATATTAATAAGTATGATATCAAATATAATCATACTTCTATAGTCTACTTTTAAGACTTTATGCCAACTCATAAATACATATATAAATCTATTTCATGATAGACATTAATAATAATTTTATTACCATGAACAAAACCATTTCCATCACCTAAATGGATCAAATAGCATTTTTTTTACTATTATAAAAGTTTTCGTATTCACAAAATTTTTGAATCACTCATAACTTCAAAAGTAAATATACTTTAAAATGTTCACTATATTTCAAAACTTTTAATAAAATCATAGATGATAAATCATTTGTAGACTCCATAAATTAGACCATATACATGATAAAAAATTAGCATAACGTAATCAAAATTATGGCATCAATTTTGGCTTATGGCTGTTCTAGACTAACCATAATAATTTACATCATACCTACAAATCATGTAGATTTAGCTATTAAAGTTATCTCATTTATACTTATAGCTTTTAGTGAAAAACTAACTGCTTTAAATGTTATCATGAGTTTCCAATGCATATATTAACTACCCAATTGCCAATTCCAAGTTCCTAGCTATTAAAATCTCCAAACTTGATTTAAAAATTTTATGAGAACTTTATTTCTCTACCATTATGCAGTCTAAGTACATATCTCTATTATTTATTATTTTTAATTGGTCATAACATTTTTGGATATATAATAAATTCAAACTTTACTCATAGGACCAATATCCTATATAAAATAAGAGTTCATAATATATTTAATTCTAATTTCAAATACTTTCAAAATCATTTTGTGATCAATATATTTATATCTAGATCACCATGTTAAAACAAGTCATGAAACATGATTCCAAAGAATTATTTTGCATAAAATAGCATCATTTGGTTTAAACTTATGACCACCATGTAACTTATTCAATATAAAATTTTTATTATTATTACTTTTTTAAACTAAGGCTTGGGTATGATTAGGGTGTAACTAATATTTTGATATAGTAATTTAACGAAAGTGCCTATTGCATTGAGTCAATTTTATTTTTCTTTCAAAAAAAGACAATTCCAATCCGTTACTTTTGCATTACTATCTGCCAAAATTCCAAATCTATTCCATTTGAATTTTGGAATTATCAATTAATAAATTTTAGCCTAAACAATGTAAAAGTAATCAAGAAATTGAATTCATGGAACATGATAAAACAATGAATTAGTTACATACTTGAACATCAACATATTTGCGACACTCTTTTAATTTTCTTTTGATGCCAAATGAAAACATAAAATCATTTGCACATTTGAAACTTGTCATATATATTTCAAAAGTCGATTTTGTTAATTTCTTTTCCTTATATATTCCTCAAGCGAAATATAAATTTTACATAATTTCTTTTAAATTGTTAGAAAAAATAAATAAGATAATAGAAATAATAAAAAAGAATTTTAACTTTGAAGCATAAATAATATTTTTTTAAAAAGTAATTATATCTTTAAGATATAACAAAGTCTCAAATTCTTCAATTAAAGTAATGAAAATAGTTATATTGAAATATCCATTTATAATGAATGAATGACATAAATTTTTATTCAAATAATTATGACCATTTATATAGTAACGACCTATATGAACAATCATCTATTTATATTTAAATAATTATGATCATTTATTATATAATAATTATTTATATTTTAAATATAACTATTTAAAATATGAACAAAATTAATACAAAAATTAAGTGTATTTACCAATAATTAATTTTTTTATCCAATGTGGGATACATCACATTTTAAACTACTAATAATTTCTTAACATTAATAGTTAATGTAGATATGGTCACTGAAAAAAACATATTGATTTTTCTGTCATCTATCTTTTTTTTCTCTTATACAATTAGATTGGTATCATATGTTTATTTGAGGAAAACTTTAACTGCAAACCGATTTCATCTTGGAGATCCCTATTTCGAATATTGAGATTTTGATTATTGTTTAGTCAAATATTTTATGAATCGAGAAAAAAGAATAAAATAGAATTGTTATAAAAAAAAGTGCATAATGACAAGATTAATTAATTATCATAAAAAGTGACATTAAATAGATGAGATTCAGATTTTAATATTTACAATTTTTTTTTTATCTTCGTTTTGGAGCCTGATTAAGTAAAGGAGACGTGAGGTTTATTATAAAACTATCTTACAGCTGATTGATTGGCTTAACATCAATTAGTGATGATAGCTTATTTGAATATACATGAGGTTTAATTCGCTAATACAAATTAGTACAATGTTTCTATTGGCAACGGATGACATAAGAATTTAAGTCAATCTCAACAAACAAATTCATGAACTTAGAACGAAATCCAGCTTACTTGAATGCAACAGTTATTGACGGCTGAGTTGGTGGAAGGTTAGCATCTTAATTCGTGAAAGCAATGATTTTTTTTGTTTTTTTTTTAAAGAAAAACTTACGATTCGTTAATAGGGTCCATAGCTATAAGCCATGATCAGTGTGGGCTCATTTATCTTTGTCGCATTTCGTCTGTTTTCATTTTGAAATGAGTGCTGTTGCTGCTCATTTATCAAGGTGCGAAGGGTCCCCACTCATAGTCTGTTCAATTATTGTGAACAATTCAATGTCTCTTAAATCTTTGTTTTTTTTGGTTCAAAGTATCAAAAAGGACATCTCAACCAACACAATTTTGGGATTGAAATTTTATGAAAAGAAAAAAAAAATTACATTTCATTTTGTAATCCTGGTCACGTACACTAAAAAAAAAAAACCTTTTTAAGTAATTTTACTTCAAATCCATTCTGCCGCTTTATAAAAAGATCTTTCAATATTTATAGTGATTTGTCGATATAACATAATATTAAAGTTATCCTCATTCAATCTAATGCAAGAATTTTATTAATTTAGAGTTTTTTTTTTTTTATTTGGCCAACTTAAGGTTTCATGTTATGATCAGATTTTCTTTAATTATATGGGTCACTTTGCTCATGCAAGTGTTACATGTGTTTTTTTTTTTTTCTTTATTGGTAAAAAAACCTTTTTATTATTTAAATTAATTTATTTTTTTTTCTTCTTTTTAAAATATTTTTCATAAAATTTTATAATTTTTTATAATTTTCAAATAAAATGTTAAAAATTGATTTGTTGGGGAAAAAAGTTTTGAATACTTAGAAGTGATAAAGAAAAAAAATAAAAAAGATATAATTGATTAATAATAGTTAGCTAACTTTCAAATAAAAAATTAACAGATAAAATATATTAATCAACAAAATAAAAACATATTAATTTTTTCTCAAATTAAATCTCCACATTTCTTTAATTTGGTTTGTCTCAAAATTGTTTTTATTTCCTTTAACTCATACAATTCTAAATTTTTAAAATTTTCATATTATTTTTTTTACTTTTTAGCATTTAAATCTATTGTTTATCAATATTATAAAAAAGTAAAGAAACAATAAAAAATAATTAAATTCAAATTTTCTCAGTCTCCGTCTCAAGTTAGATGTGAATATTCAATTTAAAATAAAAAGAGTATCAAATTATATAATATTATAAATAATTTTAAAATTTACTTCAATACTTTTATATGATAAATATAATTATATAATTTAATATAAACAATTTTAAAATTTATTTTCAGTAACTTCATTTGATAAATACAACCTAATATAAATCATATTATAAGTTAATGATTACTTTCATTTATAACTTAATCATATAGTTTTTATAAAATAGTTTTGTTTTTACATAAAAAAGATCAAATATGAATCTTTTGATAAATAAATTTTAAAATAATTGGTTTCACTATTACAAAGCTACCTCAAAATTGGCTTGATCCAAAAAGGTTATCTACGTGTTATTTTTTTTAAAACTATTTGACAACAATAGATTCCATTATCACGCCCCAAATTTAGTTTGATTTCAATAATTAAAATTTTTATGTTTTATATTTATAATCATTTTTGGTAACGAGAAAAAATCAAATGCAAAAATTATTATAAAAAATTTTCATGTATTCCAAAATACAAATTGTATTTTGTAATATAATAATTTATAAAAAAAAAATTCTTAATTTTTATGATCACAAATGAGAAATAATAAAAATTATTGCAAATAAATTATTTTAATTATCAATTTTTTTTTTTAATAAATATAATATTTTTATTATTATTAAAAAAAACTATTCTTTATAATATTTTTTTATTCACTAATATTATTTATAATATTATTTAATTCAAAATTATTTTTTATACATAAAAAAATTTCGAAACGAAATCCATTCTAGTATTTAAAACAATTAAGGAGGCTGGATTTTAATGTCGTTTAAAGGATTTAGTGTGGTAGGGCGTCCGAATGGACTCTTAGAAAATATTTTTAATTATATTGGAGATTGAACTCCATCGTTAAAATTAAAAATTTAAAATTATATTTAGAATAAGATATGTCGTATTTGATAATTTAAAATATGTGATTATAATTATACATTTAAAATAATCTTAATAAATAATTATCAATAAAATTTAAATTTAAAATCTCTTCGTTAAAAAAAATAAATTTTAACCGATTGAACCAAATAATTATTAGTAACTTAAGAATTAGGATGTTTCGTTTTAGTACTTTAGCAGCAGTCTTCCGACTAGTTTGATCACTATGTAAAAGCCCAATCCAAAACATTTTAGCAGTTCTTTTCTGATTCGAAAGCCCAATCTAAGGAAAGCCCAGTTCTATTCTAATATAATTTGTTTATATAATTATTATTAACATTCAAGAAAAACGATACCGTTTTGAGAGCTTTCTGGAAGCTGATTATTGTTTTTTCTTTTAGCTTGTCTAAAGCTATTGATCTCATTTCTTCTTCGGCTTGGCATAAATCAGTTTGTTTGCTTGAAGAGTAAGGCTATTTTTTACTTTTTGATCCTAACCCCAAAAATGGTGCTGATTGAAACTCACCACGATGAACAACAACAACAACAAGCCACGAAAGCGATTCCCTCATCATCCGAGACGACTTCGGATACGGTGGACGCCGCATCATCAAATGTGGGTGGAGGAGATGCTGCTTCCGATGGATTTGAAACAGCGAGCGAACGTGACGTCAGCGACAACGAAGAAGAAGACCACGCCCACGATCAACAATCATCCGAACAGAAAGGTCCCGATTCTTATCAAGATGCCTTGAACGACGACGAATTGGAAGAGGTTCTCTTCTTTCCCTTTTATTTTATTTTATTTTTTTCTTAACTGATCATTAAAATGAAATATAATAGCTATCTTTTGTTTATTTTTAAAAAAATCTGTTTCTAGAAAGCTTTGGCACAAGCAAATGATGCAAAAATGGAAGGAAATAAATTGTTTGGAAACGGCCACTACGAGGAGGCATTGCTACAATATGGGATTGCTTTGCAAGTTACGGAGGAGATGCCTACTTCCGTTGAAATTCGTTCCATTTGTCATTCGAATCGCGGTGTTTGCTTTTTGAAGCTGGTATTTTTTTTTTTTCTACTTAAAGTTGAATAATCGTTTTTCTTTGAACTTTTTTTTTATAATAGATATTGTTAAAAAGTGTACATTTTCAGGGGAAGTATGAGGAAACCATCAAGGAATGTACGAAAGCATTGGAACTTAATCCTTCCTATGTAAAGGCTCTTGTTAGACGAGGAGAAGCTCATGAAAAGCTTCAACACTTTGAAGAGGCTATCGCTGGTGAGTTCGATTTGATTTGATTGTTTCTTTCTTTTATTATTCTAAAGTCAGAAATATTTTTTTGTTTTGCGGTTCCTGAAAACTTATCCATTGATCTATCTTGATGATTTGATTTATGTGTCAACATTATATATGTTTGTAACTTTTTTTCTGAAAAAAAGTACAATAAAATTTGCAGATATGACAAAGATATTGGAATTGGATCCTTCTAATGAGCAGGCTAGGAAGGCCATTCGACGCTTGGAACCACTGGCTGCAGAAAAACGAGAAAAGATGAAAGAGGAGATGATTGGTAAGCTTGAATTCTACATTTTATTTGCCTCATTTTTTGTTTTCAACTCAAAGATCAGCCTCATGTATTGCATTCCTTGAACGAGGTAAATTATTTTTATGGACATTTACATAGTGGATCATAATCTTCATATTGCCTTGACTATGTGATGGATGCTTTACTGCTCTACATTATTATATCCTGAATAAATATTACGAAGAGAAAAGGAAGGGGGGAGACTCAGGCATATTACTAAATCTCTTATGATTACATTATTCAAGGTTGCGTTAAAAGTGTGAGTTTTAAGGGGTGTTTTCAGATTTCATACATTGAGTTAATATACTAATGGATGTACCTAATGTGTGCAAAAATAATTAGAGTCAAATTCCTTTGTATTTAGTATGTGGTATTCAAAGGTGCATTTGAAATTTTTAGATGAGAATGAGGTTTTCAAGCTCACATTCCCATTCATCACATACCAAATACCTTTATATTTGAATCTTATTGCCTATATTTATTGGTTACTTCTTTAGCTCGATGTATCTAATAAACCAAATTTACTATACCATATTGACTTCATTTTTCCAAGCACTACTTAAGCGAATTTAGATCATTCTATTTTTTGTTACTAAATGCAAATGGCAATAAGCATCTTATTTATTGGTTATTGGTTTCCATCTCTAATTGAAGACTAGACTTGAAGTGCCCATGTCAAATGATTCACTTTAGCTGTGTGCAATCTGCATTTGTTGCATACCATCCATTGAATATCATTCGGATCTCGCATTTCATTCTAGGCTTTGAAATCAAATGGAAAATGGAAGCAGTTTGGCATTTGATTCTGGTCACTGATATTTTTTCTGAGCATTGTTTCCTGCCGAAGAGAACTTGATATTTTCTTGCAACTTATTTTTGTTATTTCAATGTTTAATGTTTGTATCATAGAAATGGGGTGATATTGAGCTTAAATTTTATTTGATGAAGCTGTATATTGATGGTATAATTATGAATGTTGAACTAGTGATCGTTGGTAAAATTGTTGAAGCTATTTTAGTACTCTTTTATCCTTTTGCATGCTTCATTTATGCATCACTAACCATATATAAATAAATATACGTCCCCTGAGCAGGAAAGCTAAAAGAATTGGGCAACTCTGTTCTGGGTCGATTTGGGATGAGTGTCGACAACTTCAAAGCTGTCAAAGATCCAAACACTGGCTCATATTCTATATCATTCCAACGTTAGTATGGCCACTAGTCACTAGCAATTTTTCTTTGTTGGTAAATGCATTGAAAAAAAAAATGAAGGCAAGGCAGCAATTAAAAGATACAGGCTTGGGAAGTTGTTTTCTATTCTGGAGCAGGATATTGTTTTGCAAGTAAAAGTGGAGCACTTCCTAGTTAGGGAAAACAATACATTTTTGCTTACTTGATGCAAGAGTTGCATTGAGAGGTCGGTCTAAATGTTCGTCGCTTATTTTGATGTGTAAACCAACTGTCTGAACGTTTCTTGCTTGTGTTAGAAATTACATATTACATTTATCTGGCTTGCTTTTCAAGTTGAGTTTCTTTATTGGACAGGCCGCCTCATATACATATTCCAATTAATTGAAAGGAAAACCCAATTTTAGTTCTTTTGCCCTCCAATTATTTTTGAATTAATTACATTATTTATACTTAAATTTTGAGAAAATATATCTCTTATTGTTATTATTTTTTGATACATAGAAAATTGCATACTGAGAATAAGAGAAAGAATTGTAGAAGGGAGGAGGGTTCAAACTCTAATCTTGTTGAATGTTACATCTCAGGGGTGGGCATATAAACAAATTGAGTTAAAAAACTCTTAAAAGATCAAATTACTTTAATCCAAATTCGAATATTTCTGGCATTTAATTAATATAATTTTATTATAGTTATGTCATTTATTAATAAAAGTATTAAATATTGATCGATATAGTCATATTTATCAAACTTTATATGTATAAGTTGATATGATTAGGTGGAGTTGAGTTAATGTGATATATAATTTTAAGTTTAGGGTGTAAAATTATATATTTTATTTTTTAAATACCAAAATTTATGTATTTTTCAAATTTAAATGTGCAATCAACTCAATTATTTATTTATTTTACTGTTTGGGCTCTTGGCATCACTCGATGCTCTCAATAGGAGGATAAAATCTGTTAAGCACTCAGCTTCTACAACTATCTAGACTAAAGCCTGTGGAAGGCAGCTTGTGGGGGTTACAAAAGAATAACCATTAGAAATAAAATCTTTTGTTTTCTCTGTTGGTCAAGTTGGGGGTGTACAAGCATGAATCTTCCAAACAATCCTGGCATACCTCCACGATGTTTCAAAGCCAATGTACTCTTGAACAGAAACGTCATTATTTTCAGGATCCCTAAAATTAAGCAAGAAGAGGTTTCAGGTGAATGAGATAGCATGCTCTGCTCAACAAAGGGATTCCCAGAAGGGTTCGGTATTGTAGCCATCCATGGCCATGGGAGGCTGCTGTTGTTGCTGCATGATGTAAGTTTTGCTGTTGAGCCATGGCTGTCATTTGCGCATCAGTTGGGGGTATGACATTACTGCTTCCATGAAAGGGATCCTTGGTTGTAATGAGCCTCAAAGGTTGACCGAAGTTGTATGCCCCTTCCTGATTTGTTTGTTCTCACTACTAGTGTTACACCTTCCAATTCTCCAATTTGCATTTAAAGATATATCAATGACAACCCAAAGCTAGCTGTATCTCCGGGATATCATACACTTTTTAAGTTAATTGAACACTGAACGGAGGAAAACCAAAATCTTAATTTCTCATAGTCACCAAGATGAAAAGAAAGAAGAATGGCAAATACTAAATGAAATTTGGACAAGGTTATTTTAAAGAAATACTCTATATAAGAACTAACCAATTTATTCTCAGCAACAGCAGCTCCATTGGAGCTTGGTGCAATAAAAAGTGCAAGCTCCCATCCTGTAGTTGCAGAGTTTGCCCATAATTTTTTTTTTTTTTTGTTAAAAACAGTTAGATAATGAGAGAGTAATATGTAATAAAAGAAGTTATTGATTCATCCAGAACGATCCCCTTTAATTTTCAAATTTCTCATAATTTTGTTGGTGCATAAACGGATAAGATTAAAAAAAATGGAAAATATTTATAAATGCTGGAGATTAAACCTAACGTTATTGGAATCCACGTCCTAATAAAATGGTTAAGCTTGGGGTTGAAACTGCCCGTAAATTTAATTTAGCAGAAACAACGAAATCGTATAATTAATGAGTGGAGAATTAATGCATGAGGTGAAAACAAAAACATTATGAAATTGGAAAAGTAGTACTGCAGTAGGCATGCATGGGTTTTTTAACGCCTATAACGTAGATGTACATGTAAACGTACAGTGCATGCATGTTCATATATACTATACGATATTGTTGTTACATTTGCAGAGGCCCCAAACAAACCGGACATCACCTCGCCGTATTCAAGCGGCATAGTTTTATATGTACGCATTTACGCATGACGGCTCTAATAGTTCAGCAAATAATGCAGACAAATATCTATCAAGAAGTCGTTCTGATCAATGGTGACCAAACTGTTCATTGTTGAAATACATGTATATCATTCATTCTACATTTTTTATTGCTTTAGCTTTTACGGCATCTGCGTTGGCAAGTTCTTGAGAAAGCTGCCTCTCCTCCTCGCATGCTGTTCAAGGTATTCTTTGCTGTTCATT